CTTGAGCCACATCCCCAGCCCTTCATTAGATTTTAAAAATGAACCATGTGTATGGTTTCTTTGTTTCTGGGCAGTGTAGCAGTTTAGCAACTGTAATATGTAAAATGGCATTCTCTTTCCTTGAGTCCTGAAAGAGCCTAAGTTTTAGAGGTAGTGAGGGACTCTGAGCAGCCTCCAGCGGGGCCTGACTGCAGTGGGAAGGCAGTCAGAACCTTTGGAATGTAATGGTCCCTGGTAGTCCTTGAACATTTCCTAGTACTTGGCACCTCTAAGGCTTGCTAAGCTTTGAGTACTCCTCTGTGCTTTCCATTCTACCTGCTTCTTTCCCACCCTGCTGTCTGTGATCAACATTCCTCTCTTGATCCTCTGATGTGCCAGGCACTGGGTTCAGTATTTCATTTAATCTCGTTAGCCCAGGGTGATGTAATGGTAGCAGTGAGGATTTATTTAAACCTAGCCTGTTTGATCCTAGATCTTGTCCTTAATCACCTCTACTCCATACTACCTCTCTCTTCCTTCTTACTGTTTACTTTCTTTTTTATTTATTTACTTTCCCAGTTCTCCTTGTTTGGCACCACTTTTTCTTTCTCTTGCTCCTAGTTGCCAAATAATTGGATTTGATTGGTCTACCCCATACATCCTTGTATGGAGCACTTTTGCTGGTCATGTCTCATGCCAGGCCCATGGATCACATGGTGCAAAGCATAACAAACTTTATCTGTATAATCACCCCTGGTTCCATTCAGGAATAAGGCGGCTTGGAGACACCCTGAGGCTTTTCTTGAGAAGCAGGCACCATGCTTGGTACATTAGCATAGCAGTTCTTTAGTGTACAGAGCGAGAGACCTGATTTTTTCCAAAATTAGCTTCTTGCTGAAATAGTTTAGAAGATATAAACATGATTTTTTAAAAAATAAATAAATTTGGGGTGGTACTGTTGTAACTATGGCTTTAAAACTATGTGTTTTATGTCTTTTTCACAAGGATAATATTCATTTAGCTGCTGTGAAATAGCAGTCATTAAAAAGCATTTATGCAACAATTAGAAACCTTGAGCATATGTTTGTGTCTATATGCATGTGAATGCGTCTCTTTCAATATATGA